CCAAATCTGTCCACCCCTCATCACCACTATATATGTCAAGTCTTTTCTCTCCTAAAGCAATGCAAAAGTCTCCTGGCCACGGCTTGCTCCCTGCAATACATCTTAGACCCTGAGGTCAAGTGATTTTTCAGTACAGAAGCTTTTCTACTTACAATGGGTTATATCTGGATAAACCCATCCATTATAAATTTAGAATACTATAAGGCAGAAGCACATCTTCAACTATGATATTTTCAACTTAAAATGGGTTTATCTGATATAACTGCATCATAAGGAGAGGAGCATACCGAATCATTTTGTACTATCATAAAATTGAAAAATCCTAAGTCGAACCATCATAAGTTGGGGACTGCTTGTAGGCAAAATCGTTTTATTTCCCTGCTAAAACACTTTCAATGATTTCTCACTGCCCTTGGGCTGAAGTCTGTACTCTGTTTTATGAGGTCTCTCTCCCTCTCTAGCCTCTCCTCTAGCATTATCCCTTCCCCAATCTGGGCTGCTATAGAACTGGACCTTGTTTGTACTCTCTTTTGCCTCTGGACTTTTGTACCTGCTGTTCCCTATTTGGAACACTGTCTTAGCCTCCCCTTCCCTTCTCTTGGTTAACTCTTCCCCTTTTAGGTATCAGTTTAGACATTACACCCTCTCAGAAGAAGCCTTCCCAGACTGCAAGAGTAGGTTAGCTACCCCTGCTGTGTGTTGCCATAGTGTAGTCCGCTCCACCATGGTCACCTTATCACAGTTCATTTCATTGCCTACTCTATTGCCTGGCTTCCTGACTGGACTAAAAAATCTCCCAACAGCATTCAACCTTATCAACAATGTATCCATGGCACCTAGCACAGTACCTGACACCTAGTAAAGCAATCAATATTTGTTGTTGTAAGACTAAATAAATATAAAGCCATTTTTGCTTTTCAGTCCATCCAAAATGCACCCTTTCCTCAAAATGCAGCTTGGCTGACAGGAACCAAGAAATAGCTACAAAGCTGTGTATTTTGCTTGGTTACATAGTGGGAGAGAGACTGCTACTGAGACACAGGGACTCTTTAAGCCTTAATTCCTCATCTGTAAGATAGGAATAGTAAAATTTTCCTCATGTAATTCAATAAACAATAGCTACTATATCAGGATGCCAATTCCCCAATAGTGATAGAACTTGTGTAGAAGACTGAAGCTCATGACTGAAACTGCCCACCAGGTGGCAGTATTAACCTGGATTGGTCCTGTTCCGCTTCCACTGCAGAGCAAGACCAGCAGTCATGGAAAATCAACAGGTACAACCTGGGCTGCTTCCTTAGAGCTTTGGGTGGAACTGGGTAGGGGCAGAAACAACTCAGAGACGGGCATATGACAAGAAGGCCTCATGTTTCTTAACCTCCTCCTTTTCTCATCCTAGGCTTCTCCCAGACACTGTTTATGCTGAGGAATAAGCATTTTCTGGCTTACTGTTCACAGTAGAGGGAGTTCCTCCCCTTTTAGATAAGTTTTTATCCCACCAGAGCTTTCTGCTTCCATTTCCAGGACAGACTGTTAAAAAAAAAAAAAAAAA